TTTTCTTCCTTTTGCAAAACTGCAACTACTGTCACCAATGCAGGGGCAAAAGCAGAGGTAGTTGATGACTTCTATTTTTTTTTCCAGAGTCCTTTTTGGCAAATACACACATATTTGCATCCCTATCACTACACAGCTATAGAGCACACATCTTAAATGGTGATTTTTTTTTTTAATAAGCCCAGTTACAGAGCAGTAAATTTTAACTGTGGGAAGAAATTCTTTTAGCAGACTGGAGAGGACCTCATCTCATGATATCTCCATTCTCATTCCTCTTCTTAAAAATGTTATTGAAGTTACATTGGCTGAGATTTTCACAATTTCTTCACTTACTTTACACTATTCTAAAGTCTTGACAAAGAACTTTTGTTCTAGGTGGGTTTTGCAGAAGGGGGGGCCCCTACCACATATGTGGTCCTTCATGGGTCAGGGGTCACCTAGCCCAGGAGTAGCTGAGACCATTGAATCAAAGGTGACCTGCAACTTAATATCCTGTTGATTATCTTGCTGAATTTATGAGTCTGAGATGTAAATGATGGTGCTAGAATCCTGCAAAATCCTCACTTGTCTCAGCTAAATTGTGTATTCTGCATTTGCTTCTCTCATTTCTTCTTCCAAGTCCTGCCCCACTTCCACCCTCCTTCACGTAAGAAGAAAATTGAAAGTTTGAATGGTGTGATGCCAAGGTAGTTTTGCTTTGGAATTTAATAGTGTAACAAATTTGTTTGTGTTCAGCTGTTTCCAGCAATCTATCAGAAAGAGGGAGAGAGAGAGAGAGAGAGACAGAGAGAGAGACAGAGACAGAGAAAGAGAGACATAGAGAGGGACAGACAGACAGAGAGACAGAAAGTTGGTAGATGTACATACACTGTTATTTATGTATATGTACACAAAATGTACAGAAAGAACTCAGTCCACACGGTTCACAGAGGCACACACACCAAATAGAGGTGATCAGCTGATGATCCTTTGGGTATTAGGTGGAATTTTTATTTTATTTTTTTAATACACCGCAGATTCTCACCAGTGCTGGGACTCCCTGCACTGGCCAGGAAATGAACGCCGGGCCGCGCGCCCAGTATCCGGGATCCTCACCAGCCTGGCTTGGAGTCTTCTGGGTGCAGTCACCATTCGATTTTGAAATAACGTTTCTGGGAAACGTACAAAGAGGGAACATGTTTGCTTGTTGGAGACAGTTGTGGGTCCCGCGAAATTAATACCGTTGCAAACTGGCAGTTCCAGAAACCTGTTGAAAAACAAATTCACTTACAGGATGGCTAACGCGGCTTGGTCAGTTTTCTTCAGTCAAGGAACCCTCTACTTTTGAGGCAATAACTCTGAAAGCCTTTGTAGCCCCCCTTCTTCTGCTTCCCTCTTTCCCTCCTTTAAATACGGTCGTGAAGGAAAGAGGTTTTGCGGTTTGCAGAAAAAGAAAGCACTTCTGAGAGGGGACGGAGACGTGACTTTGAACTTGGCTCAGCTCCTCTGTGTCCTGCAGAGAGAGGAGAACTGGGGCCGGGAAAGAATAGCCAGGAGGGCCCAGCCCGCAGGGTCTCCGGCGAGAATTAAGGCGTCTGCCCCACCGCCCGGCAGTGAGCGGCCCCCGGAATCCGGCGCGAGCAAGCGCCCAGCCGCGCCGCCCCGAAATGCAGGCTCTGCAAAGGGGGAATCAAAGCGAAAGGAGAGAATGGGTCAAAGAGGAGAGGGAGGGCGGAGTGGGGAGCGGGTGAGAAAGTGGGAAAGGAAGAAAATTTGGAAGTCTGATGACTTAAAAGGAGGAAGGGAAGTAAGGCTTTTTGGATTGCAAGATTGCTAGTCTCACAACCAATGTCGAGGAAAATAATTTTTGAAATATTTTTGGAATATGCCTTCCAAATGCACTTTCAATCCCCTTCCCAATATAAATCGGTCACTAAAATAAACAAGTATGAGATTGCATTGGGTATTTTTTGAATGGATTTGATGTAGCAGAGCAGCCTTTCTGCCTGCAGCTCGCTCTCTCCCTCTCCTTCTCCCTCCTCTCTTCTATCCTCCCTCCCTCCTTCCCTATCTGTTTAGGGGCCCGCGTGAAAACTGCGAAGATTTCCAGTTCCAGGCAAACTCCAGCTTTCAGAAGAAATGCCAGTCTCCCTCTTTCTCCCCGCCCCCGCCCCACTGGCGCCAGGGGACGAGTGACAGAGGGAGGGCCCAGGGCCCCTTGTGCAAGAAGGTGCGGTCAGCTCAAGCAGGACTAAGATACCCCTTACACTGGGAGAGGTTTTTAGAGCCGAAGGGAGAGCCGGGTTCGGCCAGCAATAGTGAGCTAGATTCTTCCCGCGTTTTCGTTGACTTCATTTTAACATAAAAATATTGAAGCCCATGTTACTTTCCCTGATTTTAATTTTATTTTCACTGCCAGAGATGTGTGAATAAAGGCCGTGGCCTCAGGCACTTCCCTTCACACCTCTGCGGCCTAAGGGCAGCAGCAGTTCCCTCTCCGGTTACCTTGGGAGCGTCAGCTTCGGGCGGAGAGGGCCGGGAAGGTCTGCTGTGGCCAGCCAGGGTCCTGGGGTGCGGCGGGAGCCGCAGGGCCGCGAGCCACCACGCAGGCAGCAGCTTCGTGGCTGGCCCACTGGCCCACTGCTCCCGGAGCACTTTTCGCTCCCGGAGGAGTGATGTTTACCTTCTATATGGTTTAAACCCTAGAGTCTGGCAGTTTCTTCTTCCCAGGCCCTGAGCCTGACTCGCAGGCAAACTCAGGCCTGAACCTAGTTTGGCTGCGCTGGGCGACCCACATGTACCAGCCCATCGTGGCAGCGGCCCCAGCTACTGGGCATCCACCCTGACAGTCTGTTTAAACCACTTCCAAACAACCCCTCCCTCGCTGGGGGCCGCTGCCCAGTGTTTACTGCTGTATTCGGAGCAGGGCGCGAGCGGCGGGGGGAGTCCGCGCGCCCCGGGGCTGAAGTGGACCACCGCCCGGCCTGCGGGCGGCGTCTGCGTAAGCGTCCGGGGAGCGGGAGAAAGGGGTCAGCCCGGCTTTTCAACACCGCTGGTCCTTCACCTGCGTGTTCAACGCCACGAGGCAGGTTTACCAAGGTGGTGGGAGAAGTGCGAGGTGTGCCAACCCGACAAGAGACTGGCCCTCCAACCGCTCCTAGTAGGTCGCTCGCAGCCCCAAGTGTCCCCGCGCTCAGGGCCCCTGCCGGGCGATTTGGCTGTTGGCCATGTCTCGGGCTGCCAGTGTGCCATGGCTCGGGGTCCCTGGGGTTTTCGGGGCCGCTGGGAGTGGCACGGATCCTCGGGGAATGGGTGGACTCCGCAGAAGGACGCAGGTATGGGGTGCCTTCTCGTTCCACGCCAAGGCCTGGGCAGGGGAGACATGACCCCGCGGCCTGGTCCTCGCAATGCCTGGCGCACGGCTCCCGGGGCGTTGCGGCCGGCCGGGACAAGGAGCCACCGCGCCAGGCGCGCAGGCGAAGCGCCACAGGCTGGCAGGCTAGGCCCGCGAGCACGATCCGTGGCTACCCCGCCGGCTAGGAGCTCCCGGGGCGGGGGAAGGCAAGGAGGGCCGGTCGCGGGGCGGGGGCGCCTGATTGACGAGGCCGCGGCGGCCAATAGCGGAACCTGGAGAACGGGAGGGGCGGGAGCCGCTGTTAAAGGGGCGGTGTGACCGGGAGGCTCGGCCTGTAACGGGAGGGAGGGAGGTAGAGAGTAAAGCCGGGCGGGAGGCTCGGGGGGCGCGGGGGAGGGGAGAGGAAAAGGAGGAGACAAAAATTAAAAATAAAAGGCTGCTGTTGAGGCGGCAGCGCCCACTGAAATAAACAGAGGCGGCGACGATGGCAGCTGAGAAGGGGAGGCCGCTCGCTCTGGCGTCCTAGCCGGGGCGGCCTCCGGCTCTAGGTCCATCGCCCAGGGCCGACCGGCTAGGGGAGAAGCGCGAGCTGGGGATCACTTTTTTATTGTTGTTATTGTTTTTCAGCCCAGCCTCCATTCCACCCCCCCCCCCGGCTTTCTCCCCTGCACCCCCCTCCCCCACCATCCCCCGCCTTCTCCTTCGGCACAACTTAAAGAAAAGGGGAGCCGCGCGGCTGCTTCCTTCATCTGGGGGAATTCGTGGCCACTGCAAGTTTACTACTCCAGATGAAGCCAATGCCAAGCGCGGAGGACGAGGAGGGCTAAGCTCCGCTGCTGCGGAGCCGAACAATACCCGCAACGTGCGAGCTGCGCGGGCAGGGCCGCAGGGGAGGAGGCAGCGGCCAAGCGAGCGATCGGTGCTCGGGGCGCCTGGCCACCTCCTGGCGTCTCAGCGCTCCCGCTGTGGTCAGGTGGAGCCGTGCGCGCGCCAGCTTCGGGCGTTGAGAGCCGAGCTCGCCTTGGTCCCTTCCTCGCTCTCTTGCCCGCTTGCTCCGCCAGCTCACCGCCGTCCCCTCGGGCCTCTTGGTCCTACAGCTGTTGTGATTCCGTTCGGCGCGCGCCCTCCGGCGCAGCCGGGCCCAGAGTCTCCGGGGCTGGCAAGCGAGTGAGTGTGTGCGTGCGCGCGCGTGTGCGCGCAGGGGTGGGAGTTGCAGCTCGGCGCTCGCCCCCCGGCGGCCCCCCTCTCCGCCCGGCTCCCCACACCTCCCTCCCGTTCCCTCCCCCCGCCCGCCCTCCCCTGCCCTGCCCGCTCGCCCGCCCCCGCCGCAGCTCCTTTAATACACTTTGGTTCTCCGCCTGGCTTTGGACTCTTCTCCTCCTCCACCTCCTCCTCCTCCCGCGCCTCCTCCGCCGCCGCCGCCTCCTCCTCTTCCTCTCCGCGCCTTCGCTCTGTGCCTGGCCGCCCGAGGCAGATCAGGCGGCGGCGGAGGCAGCGGGCGCACGAGCGCCGCTCCCGGGGCTGGGGCTGAAGCCTCCACTACTCTCGCTGCCTGCGTCCGAAACCCGGCGGCCTCCGGACGCCCCGCGCGCGATCCGGAGCGGGAGCCGAGGCGGCGCGGAAGCGCAGGGCTCGCCGGGGCCGGCGGGGCGGGCGGGCGGGCGGACGCGCTGGCCATGCTTCTGGACGCCGGGCCGCAGTTCCCGGCCATCGGGGTGGGCAGCTTCGCGCGCCACCATCATCATTCGGCCGCCGCGGCAGCTGCGGCGGCCGCGGAAATGCAAGACCGAGAACTGAGCCTGGCAGCGGCACAGAACGGCTTCGTAGACTCAGCCGCTGCGCACATGGGAGCCTTCAAGCTCAACCCCGGCGCGCACGAGTTGTCCCCTGGCCAGAGCTCTGCATTCACGTCGCAGGGCCCCGGCGCCTACCCGGGTTCCGCTGCGGCCGCCGCTGCAGCAGCAGCGCTCGGGCCCCACGCGGCGCACGTTGGCTCCTACTCTGGGCCTCCCTTCAACTCTACCCGAGACTTCCTATTCCGCAGCCGTGGCTTCGGGGACTCCGCGCCGGGCGGCGGGCAACATGGGCTCTTCGGACCAGGCGCGGGCAGTCTTCACCACGCGCACTCGGACGCGCAGGGCCACCTCCTCTTCCCTGGTCTCCCAGAGCAGCATGGGCCTCACGGCTCGCAGAATGTGCTCAATGGGCAGATGCGCCTCGGGCTGCCTGGCGAGGTGTTCGGGCGCTCAGAGCAATACCGCCAGGTGGCCAGCCCGAGGACCGACCCCTACTCGGCCGCTCAGCTCCACAACCAGTACGGCCCCATGAATATGAACATGGGTATGAACATGGCAGCTGCCGCGGCCCACCACCACCATCACCACCACCACCCCGGTGCCTTTTTCCGCTACATGCGGCAGCAGTGCATCAAGCAAGAGCTCATCTGCAAGTGGATCGACCCCGAGCAGCTGAGCAACCCCAAGAAGAGCTGCAACAAAACTTTCAGCACTATGCACGAGCTGGTGACCCACGTATCCGTGGAGCACGTTGGGGGCCCGGAACAGAGCAACCACGTCTGTTTCTGGGAGGAGTGTCCGCGCGAGGGCAAGCCCTTCAAGGCCAAATACAAACTGGTCAACCACATCCGCGTGCATACGGGAGAGAAACCTTTTCCCTGCCCCTTCCCGGGCTGCGGCAAGGTCTTCGCGCGCTCTGAGAACCTCAAGATCCACAAAAGGACCCACACAGGTAACAGCGGGGATAGATGCACGAGAGCTCTTGTGTGTTTGTGTGTGTGTGTGTCCCCCAACGCTGGGTACCAATCTCCAGCCAGGGTCCTGGGGTGGGAGAGTTTTGTGTGTGCGAGAGAGGCAGCGGCTTGTTTTTGTTGGACGATGCAAGTATCATAGGGCTGGGTTTTTCCATGTGCGGAAATTGAGTTTTAAATGATCAGTGAAACATCAACTGTATGCTCGGGTGTGATACAATGGCTTCGTTTGCTCAGCCCTAGTTAATAATTTCCTTTCTAAGCAGAATGCACAAAATAAAACTGTTCCCTAACTCGGTGCCCGGGAAGCGAGCCTAGAGAGGATTTTGCCAGCTTGTGTGAATGTGCTTTTCGGCTCCGGGTGTGTGTGTGTTTGAGTGGCTTGTGTTTTCCCACTTCTTTTTACTCCAGGACCAAACGCCCTTCCAGGGACTGTTTCCCATTAAATGAGCCCTGTGCGAGTCGAAGCTGTAAAGCATTTCTCATTTTTAAAGTGTTTTTAAAATCCCATCTCGGGACGGGTCGCGGGGGCTTTAAGGTGGTTGCGCAGCAGTTTGAGAAATGTTTTAATGGGCACCAGAGGATTTGCAATTCCCAACTTGTATCCACAACCCGGTCAGTGAGAGCCCCAGGCAGCGCGGCCCTGCGAGGGAATTGCGAGCCGAGAAAGAAAAAAAAAAAAAAAAAAAAAAAAAAAGCGCCTCCCGCCTCATAGATTATTCATCTATGACCAGGTCTCAGCCAAAACCGTGCCAGACGATTTCCTAAAAGAAAGCCAAATGTTTTAGCAACTTCCCCCGTCAATATTTACTCCAACGTGGGGATGCGCCAGCGGCCTATTGTTCTCTTTTGGGAAGGGAGGGAGCCAAGGTGCGAGACAAGCTTTTAACAAGGTTTAAAATTTGAGAAATGTATTTGCATGAAATACTTGCTTATGAGTCCGAGTCCTGCGTCTGAGCGGATATCTTTTTAAACACGCACACACACAATTTAGGTGCTAATGGAATTTAACGTTAAATGGCCCCCTTTCCAAGTGGGTCCACGTTTGAGTTCTCACACCTCTAAATGACTCCAGGCGTTCGGAATTCTGGCAGCGGGACGCTAGGACCGCCAGAAAATTAAACTGATTCTGAAAGGTTTTCCTAACTCCAACGCCACCCCAGCTTGTGCCTCTCCATCGTGAGAAGGCTGCCTGGTCTCTAATATTTATCTTTAATTTTAACTTATTTTTGGAACAGTGGAGGAGAGACTAGCATTGTGATTAATTCAATTTGCAGAATTTTGGATGAGAAATACTGGCTCAGTCTCTATCTACAGCCCGGCCCCCAAAACAAAACACAGCAACTCCAAATGTAATTGCCTACTGGCCCCAGAGAGAAACCGACAGCAGCCCAGCAGCCTGTGTGATTCTGATAATGCCCCAAATATTTTGTCATAACAACAGCTTCTCTGTGGTGAGAACAACTTGTTAGATGCTGTGAATCCAAGAAGCTTTATATTAGGGCCAGGAGTTAACCCAGATTCCTTAAGAATTTTCAGAAATCCACCTTATTCAGGAAGAAGGTAAAATATGCAGTAAATGATAAGGGCTGTCAGGTGGGCAGGAGGTAATTTCGCTTTGCTTCTGCCACCGTGGGGATGCAGTCTGTTTAAGGGACTCGGCACTCGGTTCCTGCAGCAGCCCTTCCTCGGCCCCACCGCGGCCTGTCCCTGCGCAGCCCTGGTGATGAGAGGTTCAGGCGCCAGTGTTTGCCTTACACAGGGGAGAAGCCTTTCCAGTGTGAGTTCGAGGGCTGCGACCGGCGTTTCGCCAACAGCAGCGACAGGAAGAAGCACATGCACGTCCACACCTCCGATAAGCCGTATCTCTGCAAGATGTGCGATAAGTCCTACACCCACCCGAGCTCCCTGCGCAAGCACATGAAGGTACCACGGCGGTGGCCGGGTGGAGGGCGAGGCTTGCCTAGCGCGCTGGCTCCTCACCGGCCAGGATAACCTCCGGCGGCCGGCCCGGGAGGATCCCTAGGGGGCCGGGGCGCTCAGGGACTTTTCTGGGGTGCTCCCCTCTGGGGCGGCCCGGCCTCACAGCAGCTGCACTCACACCCAGTCCCCTCTGGTCCCCCCTCCCGGCTTTTGTCTTGCAGGTCCATGAGTCCTCCCCGCAGGGCTCCGAGTCTTCCCCGGCCGCCAGCTCTGGCTATGAGTCGTCCACTCCCCCGGGGCTGGTGTCCCCCAGCGCCGAGCCCCAGAGCAGCTCCAACCTGTCGCCGGCGGCGGCGGCGGCAGCGGCGGCGGCGGCGGCAGCGGTGTCTGCGGTACACCGGGGCGGAGGCTCCGGCGGCGGCTCCGGTGGTGGCTCCGGCAGCAGCGGGGGCGGCGGCGGGGCGGGCGGCGGGGGCGGCGGCAGCTCTGGCGCGGGCAGCGGGACAGCTGGGGCCCACAGCGGCCTCTCCTCCAACTTCAATGAATGGTACGTGTGAGTGCCCGGGGCCTCTCTCCCTGTCCCAGTCCCTGTCCCTAGCCCAGGCGCTGTGCCCAGGGTGTACCTTGTGATCGTGTTGTTAAAATGTGATTTTTATGATGATGAAAATGATTTTACCAGCTGAAGGATTTTTAAAAAGTTTTTTTTTTCTTTTTTTAAAGAAACAAATCTAGGCATGAAAGAAAAAAAAATCTCTTATGGAGTCTTTGAAGCTGAACATATAAAAATATGAAATAAAAATGAAAGAATAAAAACATACAAATATTCAACCAAACCCTCCTGCCAAACCCCCATTCTTACTGTCCTTCCCACTTGGTCCTGAGTCTTCTGACAAACTGTACATAGTGGACTCCTTCCTCCTCCGAGGTGATTTTTAATGGGTTCTTGGTGTATAGAAGTTTGTCCATTTGTAAACTCCGGATTTCGTTCCTTCCTCCCTTTCCCTTTCCTTCCCTTCCCCAAGTGATGGGCTTTTTCTTTCCTTTCCTTTCCTTTTTTTTTTTTTTTAAAGCTTATCTGGTTTCTTTTTTAAGTAATGTGGAAGAAAATGGTTTATTTTGTACTGTGGTATTGAATATTGTGTTCCTTTTTATAAGCCAACTTGATTGTAAACTTCATGCAACTATAGACTGGGGGGAAAAAAGCAAGCCGTGCCAAAGTCTCCCTTCTGTTTCTTCAACACACCACCCCATCGCACACACCACCAACAATGCTTGTGAATGTATTTTTCTGTTAGCTGGGTTTACATGTGATGTTTTAGTGCTTTTGCAAGTTCAGTTTGTTAGTTCCTGTATGAAAGATTGTGGGGGAAAAAATAAACGTCGTGCCGTTAGCTTTTTCCGTAATAACACCCTTCCTTCTGTAAATACCCGTTACCATATTTATCCATTTGTAATTAAATTATGGTATTAACTTGCTACAGAGGAAACAATATTTATAAAGAATGTTTCTTAACTATAAATATGTACAATTGTGGGCATAAACTTGTTCAGATTTTTTATTTGAAGGTTTTAAGTGGTTTGATCATTCTTGTGATATGTTTTGAGAGTAATGCATACAGAAATATAATAAAATGTGTTGAAACTGCATGAACATACTATTCTTTCTTCCAGCAAAGTTATTTTTGAAAATGGGAAGGAGGCAGCTAGAGGGTGGACTTAGATATGGATCAGAGTGGGAATCATCACTGTGCATTCTGGGAAGGAATGTGTATGTATAGAAATCAGGCTGAACTGCCCCTTTGGCAGAAAGTCTCAAAATTATTTTCTACATCCTTTGTTTAGTAGCTGAGAGTGAATTAAATTTTTGGAAAGCCCCTGTGAGGAATGGCTGCAGGAACCTTCAGAGTTTCTAATGGCTCCATTATCTGAGGGAATGCCTTTCTTTCTTTCAGCTATTTGGACTGGATTTAAGAGCACTAAACATTTCCTTATTCTTTGTTTTCCCCCTTCCCTGCCCCCTTCCTCTCCCTCCCTCTGAAAAGCTGAGGTACAGTTATTTTTAATTGCACGTTTAAAACTGAGCTGAGTACTTTGTTTTTGAACTTGGCCCAATGATTATAGTTTAAAAGGGCCTGTTTCTACCAGAAGTTTGTGTTTTTTTTTTCCCTTAAGATTTTACACAGAGAGCTTGCACAAGAAATACTGCTTTATCTTTAAGCACAACAGCTCTGCACTAATAATCAGGGTATTCAAGAGAAGGTGATAGGGTACGTTTTAATTTTCTTTTGCAATAACAGAGAGGCAACAAACTTCCCAAATGAAAGAGAATCTTTGCAAGAATGCAGCAAAAATAGACTAAGATACAAAGTTGCTAAGTGCAAGTACCTAAGCCACCAGCTTTTCTGGAAGGTTTGCATCCTACCCTCTGTAGTTAGTCAGAGTTTTCAGAAAAGATGCTCTCAGGAAAAAAAAAAAAAAAAAACAATTTTAACAGCTAAGGGATAGGGATGGTGGAAATTATGTCAAAATCCTTGAACCACTGAGACAGCTCTCTCTCCATGGGTGTCCCTAAATCTCAGAGAGGCTCAGGGCGGTCTCGGACCTCCTCCCCCAGCAGTGAAAAGGTGGGGGCTGTGGTGGTGGCTGCAACATCCCCATAGGGTCGCCAGCTCTGCCAGCCAGCCCCCAGAATGCCGGGGCTGCAGTGGAGACCGCGTTCTCCTTTCCCGCCAGCTGCTCGGAGCAGGCCTGAGGGTGCTTGGGGAGAGCTAGGCAACCTCCCCAAAGCCGACTACCTGTTCAGTGGGGAGGGAGAGAACAGCCAGCCAGCCTGTAGTGTGAGATTCAGGGTGACAAATGCCAGTCTCGCTCTCTCCCCAGCGGCCCTGCGAGCTGCCTGAGCTCCAACTTCTGAAGCAATCAACTCTCTATTAAAATCAAATTTATAACCCCTAATAATATTAAGCAAAATTATTAAAATAATTGGCATATGTTCCTGGTCCTTGGGAGAGTTCATTGAACACATTATAAGCTGTGAGGAAAATCATTTAGGGTTTTCTAAAATCCCTTACCCCCAGGGGGTGGGGGGAGAGAGGAAGGAGTCAGATTAAATATTCATCATAACTCTGGGCAAGAATGGAACGGTCTGTTCCAAATGTTTTCAACTTTTTAATTTAAAAGTTGGAAATTACTTAGTTTTGCAACACCTCACAAAGCTGAGACGGGTGGAATAAGGTGTAGGGGGGCAACTTTCCCATCAACTCAAGGTTTTGGGGTTTTTTTCTTATGGGTTGAGGGAAAAAGAGAAGGGGCATTGGACGGGTTCAGAAGCTTTCTAGATCTGAAAGTCAGACAGCCATCCCAAAGGCCCTGCAGGTCACCGGGCGCAAATTTCAGTTTTCAGCAGGAAAATAAAATGTGAAGACGAACAAGGCGAAGAAGACAACAGCCTAAAAGTGGTTTCTTAGTCCTCCTTAGGATGTAAGGAGCCGGTGCGAGCAGCTTTCCTGCAAAATGGCTCCCAGTTCCTCCGCCCTCTCAGCCCGGGCTTTGTCCAACTAGTCACCAACCCGACGGCGTGACCCAGTCTCCTTCTTTCGCTCTTCTCTTCGGCCCTTCAAATCTCAGGGACTGGATGAAGGGAGAGGGAGATGGCAAAAGTGTCAAGAGCATCAGAGATGTCAGATCCGCGCAGGGGCTGGGAAAGCAAGAGGCTGCCGGGCTCCCTGGCTCCCGGACGCGGGGTGCAGTGGGGTGCGGGGTGCAGTGGGTGCGTGCATCCCCTCTCCCTCCGAGCTCCCACGTCGAGACGGACCTGAAATGCTAACCTGCCCTTGCCTTGACTCCAGAGCCACAACACTGTCGCCCGTCCTCCCCTCCCTCGGGACCCAGAGCTGCAGCGGCCGGAGGACCGCGTCTGGCTGCCACCGCAGTCAACTTGAACTTCAGGGCGCCCAAGCTCGCTCCCGGCGCGCTGCGCTCCCTCCACCTCCTAGTGACTGCCCTCAACGGGAGAGGCCCTTTATTCGGAGGTAGCTGGAGCCCCCTCGGGAGGCCCACCATTATTATTATTAATTATCGTGACCTTCACTGCATTATTAATGACCACAGTGATAACTGGCATTGGTATCAGCTTCTCCCAGTTCAGTGATGCTCTCCGAACTCCCTGGCAAGGAGGAGGTCACTCCCAGAACAGAGCCCGCGGCGGTTCTGCTCCAGGCTTGGCCGAAGGAGGCTAGTAGGGCCCAGCTCCGGCAGGAGCCCGGCACACTCACCCCACAAGCTGTCCTGGCCCCTTTCCTCTCTGGCACCTTCTTCTTCGCTCTTCCTCCACCCCACCCCCTAGCCCTTTGTCTCTTTCAGACGGATGTTTTCAGTCTCAAGTGGTTTTATCTTCCTCACAAACCCTGAGATCAAGGGCAGATCACAGGCTGGACCGGAGGCTCGGGTTTCTCCAGAGTCTGCTATTCTGCATCCCTGGGGGTTGGCTAGGAAGGCCTGGACCCTTAAAGTGACTGGCTGGTCCTTTGCCCAGGTCAACAGGGCTGAGGGAAGTATCCCAATAGATGTTTGCTGGGCTTCCCAGTAGCATCAGAGATGTGCGTGGGGACCCACGAGGTACCAGTGGAGACTTGAATCTTGTCTTTCCCCACATCATGCCACCAAATCATCCAAAGGGTGCACTAGGCCTTCTTCCAATGGGTAAGAAATAAAGACCTCAAAATAATACCCTATCAACAGCTGGCTGAACCGCTGAATGCATTTTATTTTATTTGTTTCTTAAATAGACATGTGTCCTGGAAAGCACTCTCAAGATCCAAAGTGGGGTTCAGTACATACTTATGGATTGATTGATTATAGCCTGATACCACCCTGGTACCACGGCAACTTGGAGGGCCTCAGCCCCCTGCTACACTCAGCGGAACTCAATGAAAGGTTTTTATTTTTAACTGGCAGCTCAGAACCAGGCCTAGAATAATGTCATCCTGCCTTTCCCTCCCCAAATGACCCTCACCCCTCTCTCCACTCCCTGCTGATTGTCACTGGGTTTTTTATTTTAGGGAAAAAGCTCCTCTCCAGACTGGATCCAGGGGTCAAGCATAAACCCTCAGGCATGATCTGCTGGACATCTTGGAAGGAAAAGACAACTATGCCATTTTGAACTGGGTGTTACAAATGAGGACTCCTGTACACTATAACCCGGGCAGCCCCAGGGTCTGAGTTCATGGTCAAGGCTGTGGGGGTGACTGGCACCAGAGCACACAGGCCCTACCCTGCCCCTCAACTGCCAGGCCTCTGGCTGGGACTCCCAGGACACCTCTCCAAGGACAATTCCTGATGCTGGGTATGAGGCCACTTCCTTTCCCTCCCACATTTTCTTTTTGTTCCCTGAAGCCTTTGAGCACTGGAAGTGGTGCCAGTTCACTTTGCCTTCTCTTGCTATAGTCTCTGTCCTGACCAGCACCCCTCTTGAAGGAGAGGAGTTTGGAGAAGCCATCAGGCAGGGGCTGAGAGTGCCCCCTCACTTGCACATGCCACACACACACTCACCACCCTCAGACATACTGTCTCTACACCTCAACACATGTATTCATCCATCCATCCATCCACTCTCTCGTGCTGACCTGTGGCTTCTGCATCTCCCAGCCACAGGCTGGCATGAGTGGAAAGGATCTGATGCTGAGGCGTGACAGTCTAAGCTTACAGGACACTGGGCCTGTCTAGCACTGTCCCTGCAGTCTGGATTCCCAGGGTTACAGTCTTCCTGAACTCCCAAGGCCTGGCCTGGGCAAGTCTCCAGGGCAGAGTAGCCAGGGTGGGTCTACTTGCAGTTGGGGTCTCCCAGGCCCGACCTCAAGGACTGCCAAGGGCAAGAGGCTACCCAGAGCACCTGGGGGCCTTCCAGGTGTGTAGAGGGGCAGCCCCCTAGCCTCTCAAGCATGGAACAAGGGAGATGCTGACTACCCCTCCCACACACACCTCCCCAACACTGCCTTAGTGCCTTCTTTTCTCAACCCCCACCCCCCCAGCCAATTTCTCTGGCCTAAGACTGAGCCAGAGACTAAGCCAGTGACCCTGGGAAGCAGAACTGAGAGCAGTGCAGCTACAGAATGCAGAGGGCAGGAATAATAATAACGTTAATATAATGTCAAACATAATCATCATAGTTTGTGCTCCAAGCCTGGGCTGTTTCTCCGAGGCTGGCAGAGGCCTGCGGAAGCTCTTGAAAAGCTAACACTGGGAGCGGGTGTGAGGATCCATTTTCCGAGGGAACCAGGTTATCCCAGAAAAAAAACAAAAACAAAACAAAAACACCTAAACTTTTGGTCTGGAACCAGACCGAGCCCGTCCGGGCTGGCAGGAGTCGCGCTGGAGCCTCTTGCTGCAGGCAACGCTTTTTTTCCATCCCTCTGCCCACTGGGGCCACAGCGGTCAGCGCGGCTGAGTGTGGTTTCCCGAAACTCTTCGGAGTCGGTCGGTTGTGCGCGCCCGCTCGTCCCAGCCCTCCCTCCCGACTGTGTCCGCCGCCTGCCCCCGCGCCGGTCCCCGCCTGAGCCTTTAATGAGCGCGGGCACCGCGCCGGCCGGGGGGCTTGGAGATGCTCTGACCTGGAGGGAGGGCGCGAAAGGTCAGGCTCACGCAGGGTC